CATTACTGATTCTATGTTCTTCTCTTGTTCTTCTTGGAACAATGATTTTCAAGATTGTATAACTAAGAGTAACTAGGTCTCGTATTGGTACAACTATGTAAGGACCGTATGTTTCTTCAACTATTTGTATTTGTGGGTTATTTTTACTCCTAATGAGAACTTTAACGTAGATTGCAAAAGCCAAGTTACACAGACAGCCAACTTTTTTAAAAAAAGCCAAGTTTTTCCAAGTTAACATTCTAAAATGACAAAAACACCAAAAAAACAAGAGTTCAATCAAATGATTTATAGAAAAGGATAAAAGGATAGGACAAACACACTCTAATCCTTCTTNTTAAGGNGCNGNCTAGTAGCAATAGGACTCCTAATCACAACGGTAGATCCCCTCGTCTTCCCTATAATCTTGACCTTCTGCGTTGCTTGGTTTGGAACATCTGATGAACCCTCAGGTGGAACCTCGTATTCTTTCTTTCTCTTATTCTTCTTCCTCTCATATGTCCTCAATTCAGCCGCATCAAGTTGTACCTCAGTTGCACCAGGTTGTACCTCANTTGCACCAACTTTCTCAGCCTCAGTCGAACCAATGGTTGCACCAGGTTGTACTTCGTAAGCCGCATCAGGTTGTACCTGTCTTTCATCATTGTCATTCACTTCTTGACCTTCAGCACCAGGTTGTACCTCTTCTGCATCATGTTGTACCTCAGTTGCACCAACTTTCTCACCCTCAATGGCACCAGATTGTACCTCTTCTACATCAGCTTTCTCAGCCTCAGTCGAACCAATGGTTGCACCTGGTTGTACTTCGTAACCCGCATCAGGTTGTACATGTCTTTCATCATTGCCATTCACTTCTTAACCTTCAGCACCATGTTGTACCTCTTCTGCATCATGTTGTACCTCCGTTGCACCATGTTGTATCTCAGTTGCACCAGGTTGTACCTCACTTGCACCAACTTTCTCAGCCTCAGTCGAACCAATGGTTGCACCAGGTTGTACTTCGTCATGTTGGACATTTTCATTTCTATCATAATCATCAAGCCCACGGTTATAGTCATCTGCTTCTCTTTCCAAATTCAGAGCTGATTCAATAGATATGACTCTGGTACCAAGGTCTTCAATATTCATATTCATTTTGAAAAACATCTTTTCCATCTGGCTCTTTAGCGCAAGCAATTCATTTTTCCACGTCTCAGGAGCATCCGCAACATCCCGACGCATAGTCTCACCAGCATCCCCATGCATAGTTTCATCCTGAGCAATATTATCCGGAACCACACCACCCCGAATCACACCACTAAANCCCACAGCATCGTTATCATCACCCACATCAGCATCAAATCCTCTNGNGGTTACATCTTCAATGTAAAAATCCCTTGACCATACTGTCTTATTCTCCACGAGAATAATCNTAG